AGTACTACCTAACCTAACTTACGGGTTGAAGTAGAAGGATTTAAATGTATATTCCTAATAGGCCATCGTGCTATTCTATGTCATACTGAATAAATAAAAATAAAAATAAATTTTGTTTAAATTTAAATACGATTTTAAAATACTTTAATAAATATTTTAGTGATAATATGGTCGAGCAATTAGATTTTTTCGCTTAAAATGTTAAAATAACATTTATATTTCCCAGCTAAATATTATATATAGACATAGAGTGTTTTTATAGCTCTATTGTTATACCATTCTTCACTTCACAATTATTGAGTTGTTCTCACAACAGTCACAACAATATATATTAGTGAAAATGTATCAATTTATGCTTTTTGTGCTACATAAATCACTCAACAAATGGAATAATATATTACACTGGGTTTATTAAAAAAAGGCTACTATTTTTTTTTTATATATTTTTTTTTATTAGCCTTCAGTCATCGACTATGATGGCTCAAAAAGGCTACTAATTCCCTAAGTATACAAAATGGTTTTTTTTTTTTTTTACAATTATGTGATCGAAGTTTAAGTTCTAAAACAAATTCCATTTAATTTGCAATCAATTTGCGTGATTGCGTTTCTACTGTTGTACACATAGCACATAGATACTAACSAAATACGCACAAGAAAAAAAATAACAATAAGCCTCATGTTCTGTTTTAAATTACCTAACCGTATAAAAAACGTGGTAAACAGAACAAGTTTTTTAAGTGTTTTGTATGTGTAGCGATGCATTTTCAAAACAAAATAATTTGATTATAATAATACTTTTGTGAACAAACACTATACCAAACCTGTGAAGAACCACTTACAATTAAACACCTCAGTGTGCATTGTCGAAATCACGTGGAAACCAGAAKTAGCTTTTCGTAGCTTTGTACCCCATTGAGGACAACAGTCATATAATTATTTTATTTCTCAAATATATTGATATATATATATATATATATAACGCAATCTAGTGAATTCTATGTATTTATTTATTATTTGTACTAATATTTATATTGTTGTAAGCTAATAACCTTAGTTGTTGATGCTTAACAATGAATAATAATAATACAAAAAATACTTTAAAATAATTTTATCTACAGAGACGACTGAAGTCTACAGAGGGCTTAAGACACTGCATAACAAAGTATTAAATACATTTTAAATGTGTAGGCTAAATGCAACATAGCGTGGATAAAAAAAGATTTTTTATTTACATTTTAGTTAACCAAGTTCTTTTATGTATATTTAAACGCRCATACGGTTAATTGTCTATATTTGTAGAAATTATTTGTAAAGTTTAATGAAGCACATTTTTTTAGCGCTTTTACATTCATCAGTGTGACTTACAAGGCACTCTTTGATGTCTATCTCTGATAGTTACACATAATTCACATTCAACATCTACATTATATGCATRTATGTACTATGGTTCGACGTAGTAAAATAAACACTAAAATAATTTCTTATTAATGTACATTTTTAAAGATAATATTTACTATAATAGTCGTAACTCGTAATCACTTATAAGTTATTAGTTATTACACCATATATTATTACGTAAATCCGTGAGAAAATACCAGTGGAAAATTATTCTACAACTACCTTCCGACCTTCGCAGGAAGCTTTTATTGTTTTACGTAAAATTAATTGTATTGCAGTTATAATTTATAATATTTTGACATAAAATTTAAAACTTTTCAAGTTAGTTATACAAATCATAGTTAATTTTACTCACTTTTAACTAGATTTATTTTGTTTTTGAATTTCGTTTAGCTGAAATAATGCATTCCTACAGTCTTCGTACCTTTTTTTTTCTTTTTTATACCAGGTTAGATATAACGGGTGRGAACTGTTTAGCACAATACTGCCACCCAAATTCACAGTCTTTGTACCTATATAGTTAGAAGTATATAGATTTTTATAAGTATTTTATAGTTTAAGTAGTAGTTTGAACATAGGCGCAACTAGAGGCCAAACACTGGGGGTACTAAAATTATGTAGGTAAAACAGACCCGTGGGGGCTACGCCCCCACACCCCAAGTACCATACTTTAATTTTATAATTACTATAACCAATCTTAAATGCATTATAAGCACACTAATATTTACCTCATAAATACATTAGGTATATTATTATTTAGGTGATTCAAATAATGACCTAGTATAAACAGATAAATAATATTTTTTTTTTTTAATAACTGATGCCAAAATAATTATACAATTTACATTTTTAGCAGTCACTTACATGAGGCACAATCTATCTCAAAGATTAGGTAATAATACTATGCTTACATGATATACATATAATATACTATTTTTCTTTTATTAGTGAAATTGGAATATATTTCCAATATTTCTGAAGAAGTAATTTTATTAACAATATATCTTTCAATATTTAAACAACCTTACGAAAAACAAAAAAAACTTTTTCATATGATTTTTTCATTTTTGGTGTTTTTGATCTGGGAGTGCTAAATTAAAGGCTGGGTGTGCTGAAGCACCCCCTTAGTTGCGCCTATGAGTTTGAAAATAACTAAAACTAATCACAATCAATTTCAAAAATCCTAAAATAATTATTTTAATTTTAAAACAGGTTTGTTTTGTTTTATTTAAGGTAAATACCTATATTTTAATAGTAAAACTAAATTTATTTTTTCAATAAAAAGAGACWATGAATTAACATATAGGTTCTTCACAATTTTTTTTATTTTGTGTTATACTAAATTATTTTTGCATATAGGTCATGAGCATGTGGTGTGAGGGGTATTAGAAAATATATGTTTGATGTAAACAAAAAAATAATTTAGTAGTTTATAAGACCCTAATAAGAGAAGGAAATTTATTACCAAGTTAACATTAAGCATATGATTAAAATATAACACAAAAATAAAGAATACAATTTTAATTATTGATAATTTTAGTTTGAAAAAAAACTCATACATGAATCAAAAACCTTTTTATACGTTTTAATTGGTACATTATAGTTGCTGAAATTAGTTTATAACGTTTTATTTTAATGACATCAGAATAAAATAAATGTAAGCTTTCTTAGTAAAATAATTACAAATCTCTCAATCAAAWACTTTTTGTTTACAATTATATAAACGTATTAAAGCTATATATAGGTCTTAAATATACCGAAACAAACTAATCATATTATGTAGATATTGATCAGAAGACGACAGTTGTACGTCACGACCACATATTATTATGTTGKGTYCTTCGTTCAAATGTACAAAATATGTCCGATTTATATTCAGCAGTTACAATTTTGTGCTGACAGTTTTAATATTAAATATAACAAAGGTWATATTTTTATACCCATTGTTCGGTAATTTCTAAAATGTCGTAACGATAAATCACGGATAATTTTATTACCTTTAAGTTCGAATGTACCTAAGTAATTTCAGTTTAACATTAAAATATGCTAATTGCGAGTCACACAAAACTTTTACCGATTAACATAAATTTTCAAAAAGATTTACTATTAATAAGTATCGATAATTTTAAATATGCATCACTTTATCGTCGTCTTAAATTAGTTAGTCTTTCTATGCAATCTATAACAAATTCGTATTTCATATAATAATATATCTACGTCTCGGTTACATGTTTTGATTATAAGAATTATAATGTTAGTTACAAACTTACGGTAAACGTATTTATGTTTAAATATTTTACGAAATGGTGTAATCATTTTATTARTAATATAAGGTRCTTATATTTATCATGTATGTACCTCTCAATCATTATTTTAAAACGAAAATATTTGGATTTCACTAAATACTAATAATGTATTCATGTATATTGTATATGTACGATTCGGGATAATTTAATAGGTGTCGAAAACAGAGTTCGTCCCAAAATTTGGAATACATATAATGCATTAATCATTTTCTAGAATGATAGTGCACCACCGTAAACGCGTTTACTGGATTTTACAGATATCTCATCCACGGTTGACTAACTTACTATGTTATAATAATATTATATTGATGAGGGCAACTTACGCCCGMAACTTTAAAATAAATAAATTGTTGTTTAATGTGTCACAACAAGCATCCGACCAATCGGGGGTTAATATTATCAAGTACTGTCCTAGATAAATTGAATTCTACACGCGGTGTTATGTTTTATTTAAACGGAATTAATGTCAATCCACTTGCAACCCTCCTGTTGTGATTGATACAATGCACGCAACAAACATTTTAATTCGAATTTACAAAATTAAAAAAATAAAGAAAAAAACTCTATTCAATTGTTAAGTTATAGATTATAATGTAGTAATTTATTATAAAACGTATTTATTTTACAGCGATAAAAGTTAAAAGTTTTATTGAATGTCTGCTGTATTAAATATATTTAAAATAAGTTAGTATAACTCAAATGGACAGCTTTAGTTTTTTATAGTTTGTGAAATTTCAAGCCTTATAAAAARGGATAAAATAACCATAAACACGTCTAATTTGGGTAAACGGCAACGGCGTATGATGTAATTTAATTGTCCCTATAGGTACATAAATTAATTTGATAAGTTTTTATTTTATTGTATTACATATTTACTAAAAATGTATTACTTGCAAAAAGTTTTAATCAATGTAAATAAAATTACATTGTATACGTATGCTATCGTATTAATTATAAAAATATTTTATTAAAATTCTATTCACACGCTAAATGAAAAATAGAATTAAAATTGTTTTCATATCCTAAATTAAATGTGGTTATTATTTTGAATTCTATTCAAGTCTATAATTTAATCATAGCTGTATTGCAGTAGTGTTCAAAAATCAAGAACCAGTGCATTTATATCCATTCTGTTTCCACCCATCGAGAACATATTTCACTCGAAGATAAAATATTTTCTGRTAAATGTATTAGGTACATAACATACGCGCTTTATCTAATGCAGAGTAAAGACAATTGTACATAATTTGATTTTGTAATTTTATGTATTTATTTATTTTAAATATTTATTTCCAGATACTTGATTCCGTTAGTGTCTATGGGCTATCTTTACTCCAAAATGTCAGATATTCTGCGTGATTTGATGAATGTTCCCGCTGTATTTTACTCTCAAGAGATCACACCAAGGTTAGTATATTAATATATTTTATACATATATATGTGACTTCAATCATAGTGCTAGTTTGTGTAGATTTCTGTGTCACATGCATAGGTAACTAAAAATTATTTCAATAATGTTTCGATTCACATGATGAACGTGAACGGTCATTGGTAAAAAATCTAAATATCTAAATATTATAATAAAATTTTAATTTTTTTAAATCTCAATATTTAAAAATATTGAACACTTAAATAGTGCTTATAATTTATATWATACTAGGTAAACTTTGGATCAATAATAATTTATTAATTGTTAATTTAGTTTTAGTGTACTAAATGATGCATAAYTAGTATCACATCATAAAATATATTAAAATATTAATGGTACCTACGTATTATTGATTATGTGCCTCTGATATTAGCCTGTACCAAAATCTACTGCTATATATATTATATAAGTTCTATCCAACTCCTCTATTAATTCTGTTATTTGATTGAATCCTTGCAGCTGTGCTCTGATCTTTTGTGGTAATTTTGACATTCCCGATTATCTTAGTAAGAAATTTGTGCTTTCTTACTTGCATACCTCTAGTCCAACAATACACTGTTTCCTAAAACATTCAACCTCCTTAAATTACATTCAGTTGAACAATTCGGACAACTTACTTAACAAACTTCTTGATAGGTTATTAGCTGTAATTACAGTTCATAAATCGCTTGTACATCGTAAACTGTGTTGTCATTGACATTTTTAACGGATAATATTATAATATTATAATAAAATATTTGTAATTTATTAACATGTCGACTCGGCAAGACGGCAACTATAATACGTTTTGCGATGCCTTATACTAATATGTGGTGAAATTATAGCAGATATCAATTATAATTTCGCAAAACTCCTTGCATGGGTTTCGTTGTTTTTATAGTTATTTAAAAAAATCAAATATGCACTAATTTTGTTTATTTTAGATATAAATTCAAATGTTTACAAAATGGAGTTCTGAAATTTAAAAAACTTTTTATTACTTCTGTAACGTCCTGTTTATATTAACGAGGTCTCCGGGACTTGACCTCGGTGTGTGGTATTATCGTTAGGAATCAGGGTTACCTTATGTGAAGCAAAGTACTCAACGTGTTTATATATGTGTAACTRTTATTAAATATTTATGTATTATTATTACTACAACATCGAATCTTATAAATKTATTATAATATATCAAACATAAATTAATAATATGTATGTTAGGCATACCTATATAAACTATAACTGAGAATTACCGATCGGGCCATGGTGTGTCTTGGGTGTCGATATCCAATGTGGGTTGAGGTGGTCGTCCACGGGTCTTCTTCGGGTTGTTATCCAACTATCGACTTACGACTCTAGCCTGTCTCTCCATCCACCATCGACTCTACTCTACTATCGACCCTACTAGTCAGCCGTCCCGGTCGGTTATTAACACGGCGTGTGCTAAACGTCGCGTCAGCATAATATATATTGCATACATATGTACACCTTGTTATTATTAACACTCAGCATATTAGCTATGCTCAACGTATGGACTAATGTACGATGTCGATGACGACAATCGTTACACTTCTCTATCATTAGAATTGTTTTCTATACACAATGAAATTTTCGAAATAGACTAATTTCAAGCTTATACCACAAACCTATGCACTCTTTTGTACGGTACCTTCGTTGCTATATTTAAATTGATAGTTTGATACTGTAAWGATAAACTGGATTAACCTATTTGAAATTAATTTATTAACCAATTATAGAATTAAAATGTAAAGTTCCTGAAAAAAACTGTAGTCTACGTTGAAAAATATAATTAAATTAAAATTGTTCATTTTTATACGTGACCGATAAAAGTAACGCCATTTATATAATACATTACAATTTCTATAAYTTAAATAATACCTGGATTACTTTTGCGGAAAAAATTCTAAAATTTTTTTATCATTTCTTTTGAAAATGTCCTTGAATAATTCTTATGACAAATTTGAGTATTCTGCTTTAAATGAAATTATCAAAGAAGGAGAATTACAATCTCTAAATTATTGTGAAAACAAAAAATTAAAAATTAAATCACATCGTTTGTATCTAAATAACTGTAAGGGTTTAAACGTTTTTGTTGTTTTCACTTTTTTTTATACCTAAATAAAATTTTACTATTGTATACTGAAATAGTAAAATGACACAATTTTTTTTACACGTTTCATCATATTTTTTTATACAGAGTGATTTACCAAGAATGATAAACCTCTTTTTACTTTAATAATACAGTTATTTAAAATAGGTATTAAATAATTTTTAGTACAAATATTTTAATGATTGAGAAATTATTTGATCAAATTTTGAACTAGAAAACTCAAATTCAAATATTTGAAAAATGATCTTTAAGTATGTAATTTCAAAAATCAAAATTTGAATGAATTCATTATTAAATTGGTCGGAAAAACTAATGTAAAATTTCCTCTCTAGGTAGAAGAGGTAATCACTTTGACTTTTTATTTTTATACAAGTTATTTAATGGGAATGTTAATTGTCCTGGGCTGTTGAGTCTTATTGGCCTTAGAGCCCCCTCAGTTAATACAAGGCATAATTCCTTATTTTATTTTATACGATTTGGTTCCCCATGGCCTCGTTGGTAGAATCCTACGTTATTGAAATGATAATCTATCTGACTTATCTTTTTCGATGATAATCGTAATTTGAAAAAACTGTTATTATGTTACTTGCTAATTTTTTAAAAGTTTTTTAGTAATTCATATTATGTTATTTCTAACTTATATACTGTACTCTCTGCCCACGCGGGTTTTGTTATCAATAAAATAAAATAAAAATAAAGGAAAAAATGGGGTGAGMATGATTGGCGATTCTCATGTATATTTTTCGTAATTCACGATTTTAGTAAGTAATATTTTAATTTAATATATATAGCTATTTAAATTATAGTAAAATAACGTATAAATATACCGGTGCAATATGTTTAATATCATATCAAATAGTATGAAACGGTACATATTATTTTCCAACTAAATTTCGCGAGGCCACGCCTCAAAATGCTTCGTTTATTGACCTATTACTCGTATACGYATATCAACAATACATTTAAGAGGATGTTAGCGCACTATTTGTTTTCTTTCTCTGGCCCACGCTCAACATAGACAAAACGCATTTACATAGAATCATTTTTAAATAATCTTTAAGTAAAATCGCCCATTACAAAAAAGAAAGAAAATAATATTTTTGAGGGAACGACATATTTATTTGTCTAAATATTGCCTTAAAATAATTAAAAATCATTAAAATTAAAAAAATTTTTTGTTTATTTTTATAGTTGAATATAAAATCAAATAACAATAAAATATAATATCTATATGCCATTCTCTCAAAAATATTATTTTATATCTTTTTTTGGAAAARGTGATTTTACTCTAAGATTACTTAAAATCATAGAAAAATAATTCTGCATAAATGCGTTTTGTCTATGTTGAGCGTGGAGCAGAGATAGAAAACAAATAGTGCGAAGATATTCTTTTAAACATTATTTGAATTTCCATACCAAAATTTAATCTAATACTAGATATTTTAGTTGACATAGATTTGTTGCTCTAAAAGCAGTCAATTTCTACAAATTATTAATTTATTGAAAATTTTTCATATTAACATATATGATATACTCAGAAATACTATGTAATTGTAGTGATCTCTTCACCTATACAACAGGCATAGCTTTTTGCTAATTATTATTAATGTGTATCATAACAATTAACATAGGCACAACACTGATGTGTTACTACAACACCACCGTCACCACCTTCACAACCACCATAAATCATATTATATTTCTTATAATATAGAACTTCTCTATGAATTATAGCTTTATAATTATATATTTAGTATTATGATGCAATGATGTATCACATAGCAAGAATTTATAGCATATTATTATAAATTTTAAATTCGATCTTTATAAAACTGTATTTTATCCTCGCTCATTTAACTAATCTTTGCGAATCATTTAATATATAGCTAATATTGAATAATGTTAATGATACAAATGTATCGGAAAATATTTTTGTAGTTTATGCTAAAAACATGTTAATGGMTAAAAATTATATTCAAAATGCTGAAAAATAATTRTAGCGCTAACTAAATTCTAGTCTTTCAAGCAATACGATTRTTTTATATTTATTTTTTTGTTCGTCATAATAATAATCTGTCTTCATCAAATGTAATCAACTTCTGAACGTATGGCTCTATTATTACCGAGCTTTTATAATATTATAAAATACAAATAATTTTAATTAGTATATATATTAGAACAATTAAATAAACAAACAATATGATTTACTATAGTCACTTATTTTAAAATATAATACAATTTTTTGGTATTCTAGTCACGTTCACATGATAAATATCCGTACTTAATACAATACTTAATATCAATTMTAATATTGTAATATTGTAATACATTTAGGTATATGGTTACATATTATAATCAATAAATTATTTATGAGTATTAAATATATTAAAAATTTGTATTAAAAATTATTCTTATATATTTAATGCATTCGCCATTCATATTTGAATATCATACCAAAACAATTTTTAATTTAATTCATTCTATTGAATATTTGTTTAAAACTCATTTTAAGTATAMAATRTATAACTCTTCATTATTACCAAAACTAGTAACTCTGTTTTTCAATAAAAGGAACCACTTATTGAATTTTTTCCAATTTATTTTCATCTTATCAAGGTGGTTTGGTAATGATTACACCTTATACTAATATTATAAAGAAATTTTTTAAGTTCTGCAATTATAATATTCAGTATATTTAACTATAATATAATATATCATAAAATATTTCAGTTAAATAATGGCAATGTGGAACATTAATTAATAATTTCTCTATTTTAATATTACAACCATCTATTTTTCGTTTTAAAATATATGAATTATCTAATACAAATTTAAAACAACTTAAACGTTTATTTTATTTTTTTTATT